AATCAGCTTCCACGTACCTCACTACTTCTGAAATCTTCTCACAGTGTGCCTGATCAGGAGTCGAGTCGAACATAAGACCATAATACTTGGCTTTGCGAATGCTTCTCAGTAAACTCTGGTAAACAGTGGATACCATTATGTGGATGAATTCGTTCTGGACACCCGGTGAAAGATAAGACTTGGATCCAGGATGACTTTCCACATGAGTGAGGTGTTCTTTCATGACAGAGTCAAAGATGGCCAATAGATTCAGTAAGTCAAGGAAATTTCCCACATTGTAGTCATTGTCTAGCTCAAGTGACTCCCTGTGTCCTCGCAAAGCCAGGTTCTGAGTCGCAACTAATTTTATGCAGTGAATGATTCTCGTCAAGATATCACATCACTTCTGCATTTCCTTCTCAATCTGTGACTGAAGTTCCGCGTCAATAAATCCTCTGTTTCAGCTAAATTTCTTCCCGTTTCTTTCCACTGTGTGAATGAAGTACTCTCAATGATTCTTGGAATTTTCATGAACACTAATCCTTTCATGTGCTTTCCACTGGTTGAATCCACTTTCCTGCTCCAATGAGAGTTCAAGGTCTGCCCGTGAATAGAGAAGACAACAGATACAAAATGCAGACTTTTTAGAAGGGGAATAGACCAGCCATGAGCGACTCACTTCCTCACCATGACCATTTCCATCATGACCTCTTGAACCAAGTTTTGTTCATTGAGCAGTTATTTGTTAGTAGGAAAGGCTCCTTACTGTTCTGGAAATACTCGAACCCAGCTTTATTATTTCTGTTCTCAACGTGTCAGGTAGAATTGCTTTTCCAGTATCCTTGTCGAACTTCAAAAGTCCAATGTCATGCTGTTCAATCACTTCTGGTATGACAGTTCGAGGCTCTTCGACACCATCCAGTTCACTAGGTTCAGTGTCGTCAGGTTCAATCTCGTCAGAAAAAATCTCGTCAATAAATTCAACATCACCACCACCACCACCATCACCATCGCCTTCCCCTCCTGTCATGTCCACGTTCTCTCTAACAGCCTCACTCTTAATCTCGTTATACTCAGATTTATCTGACTTGAATTCTCCTCGGTTTGTGACGTATTTGTACTTGATCCACCTTAGGATTCTAACAAACATGTAGCTGGTGTCGAACTACTTGTTCCGTGCTTTTCAAAGAAGTGCATGAACAGCTTGCTCAACTTCTTGGTTTCCTCTGCCTCCAACTTTCGTCTCTTCCATCCTTCAGCTCCACTTTCCTTCTTCTTCTTCGTGAAGAAACGTTTCATGGTCTTCTTACACAATGCTCTGAAATAAGGAAATGACACTTTTAATAAGAACATTAAATTTCATAGATTTTGCACAAAATTCTGGACTACCTCCCTAACTTGAGCAGGAGAATGGTCTTACTGCCAGTTGGCACTGAGCAGTGGTACTATAAGGTATGTGGTCATGTTGCTCCCAGCACTGTATTTTTACCTAATAATTTATATAAGTGGTTTAACAATCCAGCCATCCAAGTGCTTCTCACCCACGATAATCAAAGACAGATCATACATCTGAAGAAAATTATTTTTTCACTATTCGAGGATGGCTTGTCTGACTTTAATATAAGCTGTTCAGTAGCGCCCTCTTCAAGTGGCGCCTAGGGTACGTGCCATACCTGAGGTACGCCACTACATTCACAGTAAAGGAAGTCTACAGCGGGTTGAGTACGTTATATTAAAATTATTTTGAAGCCTCACCACGTAGTTGAAGTCTATGTCGCCGTGTCTTGTCATGTTATATTTGATGACCGTGCATTTTGACAATACCATTACAGTAAAGTTTCCACTGAAAAGGTTCTGTGGTAAGACTGTGATGTCCAAAGCACATAACCCTTCTCTGTTACTTTCCATGAATCATCTAGTGTTACAAAGCTCTCATTTCAATGGTCTGATCGCACACAAATCCATATGAAATAACATAAACACTATTTTAAGTTTTTAGCTGCTTGGGGTTTGCGACAGTGAGCAGAAGGTATGGCTAGAAGTTTTATCTTGGTGCATCCATACCCTGTTGGTTTCATTTACAGACAAAGATCCTTCTTGGTTATGTAAGATACTGATGCTGGGAGCACGTGGACAAATTTTTGCCACTGATCCTTGTGTTCGAGTATTCTCATCTATTACAAACTCCCGCATTGTATTTACTATGACTAGAATATAATTTTCTTTCTGGATGTTTCTGAAGCTCTGAGTTAATCCACATTCTTTTTTTTTTTCGATGGCATTGGTGGAGGGGGGTCGCTAAAAATGTATGTAGATTTCATGTCATCTTTTTACAAATGAATTTATGGATACTGTGTTTACCATTATTTTTTATGATTTTCGATTGCATATTGCAGGGTTTACAATATAAAAAGTCGGGTTTCAGTATCTGTGGTTGGCAGAGCACAAATAGCCCGTTGTGTAGCTTTGTGCTTAACTACAGCCAAACCCAATCCTGTCAAAATTGGTCAATCATGTGACGTCACCATCAGGGTAAAGATTTCCCATTCAAAACCTAATTTCCATTTTTGTGAGTTCATTTTAAATAAACAAAAGATATTCAGCACTAATTGTTTGTTATTACTTACATTAGTATTAAATTGAATATTCGTATATTACCGAGATACAACACACAACTCAACTTCCATCAAATTAAGCAGCAAAAAAAAAAAACAAAAAAAAAACAAGAAGTAAAAAAAATGGCATCATATAAATATCACCAACATTAAAACAACTTTTAAAAACGCATAGGCCTGGCATACCCTGGTAGTAAAGGCTCTCGACTTGTAATTTGAAGGTCGCAGGTTCAAATCCCCGTCATAGAGCATGCCCACCCTTTCATCCGTGGGGGTGTTATAATGTAACAAACAATCTTTGGTGAAAGAGTAGACCAAGAGTTGGCAGTGAGTGGTGTTGACTAACTGCTTTCCGTTTAGTCTATCACGGCTAGCTCAGATAGCCCTCGTGTAGCTTTGCACGAAATTCCAAACAAATACCAAAACGCATATCTCATTAACTTACTATATTTATAACTTCACTACAGTATTACAAATTTTGACTTTTATTATATCTTGCACACCTCCTGTCCTGCCAACACGAATAACTAAAATAACGACCTATTTTGTATATTATGTAAATAATAAGCCTTATAAAAATGTGCACAATTTAACTACACAATATAATTACAAAACATATTTTATTACGTGTTCTAATACCATATTTGTGTGTCTTTATAAGCACCAGATGTACGATAAAAACATGTTACGACAGCGGAAGTCACGCGATTCTGGGAGCATGCGCGCTGGAGTTTCAAGAAGGATCATGAGTTTGTTCGAGGCGCCCTCTTTTTTAGTATATAAGCCTGGCAAATAAAGCCAGAGGGGGAATAGATATGCAGATAGATGGAGGAGATAGATTGAAGAGAGATATAATTGAGTCAAGCGAACAGTAGGCACCGTAAGTAAAGTGTGTGAATCACAATGATTTATAGCGTGTGTTATAAAATTAGTTAAGTTTAAAGTGACAGTGGAAATTCTGTGTATTACAAAGTTGTATAGTCAAAAGAATAAACCAGTTTTAATTAAGAAAGGACTTGTATCGCTGAAGTTTCTTGGAAAGAATTTTTACCGGATATTAACAAACGAGCAGATAGTAACAAACATTTCACCCTTTTAACGCTTTGACACCTGCTCTTGAGCCAGAGAGATCACACGATGCTGCCTGACGTCAGCTCCTTTGGAATGTGACAGAGTGTGTGCTGAGATGTCTGAGATAGCTTTACCAGTGGACGTAGGGTATCTGACACTCTAACACTAATTAAGTGTTTATATTGAATACTGTTACGTCTTTTGTCGTTTGTTAATTTCCGGTACAAATTCTACCCAAGGAATTTCAGCGACGCAAGTCCTTTTTTAAATAAAACTAGTTTATTCTTTCTCAATACAACTTTGTAATACACAGACTTTACACAGTCACTTTAACTTAAACACGCGCTATAATTCACAATGATTCACGCACTTTACTTACAGTCACTAATGCTCGCTTGAGTCAATTATCTGTCTCTCTATCTGTCTATCTGCAATTATTATCTCCACTTTATTTGCCGGGCTTATATATTAAAATAGAAGTAATCTGGCAAACACATGAGCCTTCATGGTCCTTCTAGAAACTCATCACGTGTTACCAGCGTCACTTGACTTCTGCTGTTGTAACACTGTCCCTTCCTTAGTATTGTTCATCCGGAACAATAGCCACTTACATTAAACAATAAACAATTAACAATAACTTAATTAAATGTACAGAATTTACAAACACAAAATTAAAATTCAACAAAGTCTTTTAATTTTACAGGACGTATCTTCTTCCATACTGGTCTCCGTCTTGTTGGCTTCTGCTTCACGTGAGGTTCATCTGCTCCATCAGGAAATGTTCCATTATCGGTAACAGTCACATCAGTGGTAGTAACTTCATTAACGGCTTCACCGTTTCCCTTATCTAAATTGGCTAGAGTTTCTTCTTCGACAGTGGCTTTTTCAGGTGGCACGTCTTCAGCAGCATCATTTGTTCCATTGTTCCTTTCATTCCAGCTGAAATGTCCTGGACCGTGATAATGCCAAAACCTGTTGCTTCACTAGGTTTATCTGGCATCATCACATGATGTAAACCTGGTGAAACATTGTGTATAAAATAAAGAAAAGTTTTACTATGTACAACCGTTAAAAACTTGTGTGAATTTTAAAAACATAGTTCTTTCTAATATTTACTTCCGGTCTTTCGATAATTATAACATTAAGTTGTAGATTAAATATATTTGTTCAGTTTGCTGTATGACTTTGTTCCTATTGTTTTCAGCAATCCTTTAGGTACGCAGCGTCAAGAAACACACAGAATGAAGCGTGATGTTAATGCTGGAAGCTGTTATAACCGCTTCACGTGAGAAGTGCACAGCACATGGGTTGTCGTAAAACTAAGAAGAAGAAAAAGTCAAATTATATATGACGTCAAAATTCGATCCGCCTATTTTCTTTCTAGTAGGTTGCAACTATGTAAGAAATTGTATTTGAATAGCTATTTGTTACGCTGCAGCAGTGGAGGTTGTTTGTTAGATGTATGGCTGATGAAGCAAGTTAACACTAGAAAATATGTAACTAACATCAAAACGGTTATGAGATGTATAAACGAGTGATATTATCATATAAATTATATTATGTATAGAATTCTGGACTTACAAAGCCTCTAAAAACAATGCAAATGAATTGCCCTCGTAGGCTTAGTGGCGGCAGCCTCCAGGCCCCAGGCTAAAAACAACTCATTGGGAGAAGAGGGCTCCTCACCAGGTTGAGAAAACAAAAAGTTTTCCTAAGTTACTCACAAATGCCTAGTGCGGTTCTTCTGCCCATGGAACCCATTCAATTTGGATTGCGAAATGGAAAAATGCTGTGATGAAGATCGGTTTTGGACAGTCCTCTACGATTATGATGCAGCCGGTGATGATGAGCTCGCACTGCGTCGAGGGGAACAGGTGGAAGTGCTGTCCAAAGATGCCGAGATTTCAGGGGATGAGGGATGGTGGACGGGTAAAATTAGCGATAAGGTTGGGATTTTCCCCAGCAATTTCGTGACACAGCATGTAGGAAATTCTGATCGACCAGTTGAAATAAAATTCTCTGAATTAGATTTAGAAAAAGTAATCGGTGTAGGGGGTTTTGGTAAAATGTACAGAGGGTTTTGGAAGGGTGAGGAAGTTGCAGTGAACGCTGCCCGGCAAGACCCAGATGAAGATATAAGTGCTACAGCACAAAGTGTGCAACAGGAAGCAAAAATATATTGGCTCCTCAATCATCCAAACATTGTTACCTTAAAAGGAGTTTGTCTTGAGGAGCCAAACTTGTGTTTAGTAATGGAATATTCAAGAAGTGGTTCTTTGAATCGTGTACTTAATGGATGTGTACTTAGTATGCTGGTTTGTTGGGCAATACAAATTGCTCGAGGCATGAACTACTTACATTCAGAAGGTCCAATTTCACTTATTCATCAAGATCTGAAGTCAAGCAATGGTAAGGAAAATATTTGGTGAGTTTCTACACTATCCTTTTTTTTTTGACTTTGTCATAAATTGGAATGCTCTCTGAAAAAAAGAAACGAAAACAGAAGCTATGTTATATAACTTCAACAAGTTGGTAAGATAAGAAAGAACATTATTTTCGAAAACTATGTTGAGTATTATTTACTAGCTGATGTACCTGATGAAAGGAGTGACCTTGGGGGTGGGGTGTATATCTAAAAGTGGACCCCTCTCTGTCACTCCCTAGGCAGTTTTAAAGGTACATGCCAGGTTTGGTGACTAACAGTACAATTGGACACACACATTGACTTGTCAAATAATGGTTTAAATAAAATGCTAACTTCCAGTCTCTTTTATAACATTATCAAATAGTAGATTCCGTCAGCTTAGGAGTAAAAATTTTAACCTTAATAAATATAATTTTCTGAACAAAAATTTCCTTAATGCCATAAAACTAGTTAGAAACAACAGTTGATGCTGTCATTAAGCTTTTATTTCTAAGCTTGTTTCAGGTGTCAGGATAAGCCTTATATGAGCAGGGAGCTGTATTATTCAGAAGTTTTACAAGTTCTTTTTATAAATAGCTACATTTTCACAAAAGTAGGATGCAAGAAAATTCCTTTCTTATGTTTTAAGAAATTGAGAAAATCACACATAGAAAGAAAACTTTTACATAAAATCGGTATGTGAAATTAATATCTGAACACTGTACTCGCATATTTGGGTTGTAATTGTACTTTAAAAGTCTACAAAATTTAAAACTGTGTACATTATGTCACAATATGCAATATGTGTCCTAAGTAGAATAGCTACAAATTATTTGTGCTAGTAATGTGATGTGAGAATGTACACTCACTGCCTCTAAAGACCAGGTGTATTGTCAAACATGAAACAAGTGAATATCCGATAGCAGTATGGTAATTACATGTGCTTTCAACTTAATTTTTAGTTTGGCAAATTACAAACCAGTAAAATCTACATAAGCTCTTCAGAAAAAAAATTTTTGTTTTCAAACTTTATTTTATTTTAAAGATGTACTTAATCATTTTTCTGTGGAAATTTATTATGAAATAAATGCAGATGACAGTAGAATAAACATATCATAGCTCGTTAAAAAGGTAATGCTTCTTATATAGTAGTTATTAAAAATGTGTAAAAAAAATTATTTGTGGAAATTATTTTTCTACTTTTGCATTATGATTGTTTTTGCAGCTATTCCCTTTCATGCATGTGTTATTTAGATTGAGCTAAAGGTCTAGCATCTATGTGTAAGAGCTACAAGAGTTTGTTTTTTAGACTGAGTTAAAGGCCCTGCATATGTGATTAAGAGCTGAAAAAGTTTTTATTAAAAACTGGATTAAAGGTCTTGCATATATGTGTGAGAGCTAGAAGAGATTGTTGTCTAGACTGAGCTAAAGGTCTTCCATATGTGTGTGTGAGAGCTAGAAGAGATTGTTGTCTAGACTGAGCTAAAGATCTTCCATATGTGTGTGAGAGCTAGAAGAGATTGTTGTCTAGACTGAGCTAAAGGTCATTATTTTCTCTTCCTTATTGTACTTCACTTACATAACCTCACTGCCTCCCAGTGGAACAGTGGTATGTCTGTGAACTTACATTGCTAGAAACTGGGTTTCAATATCCATGGTGGGCAGAGCATAACCTCAGCTTAGTATTTTTATTTGAATTTTATTATTCTCACATTTATTGTTTAATCTAAGTCTATAAAAACAAGAAAAGTGAAAGCAAACCATTTGAACCATCAAAAACTGTGATTTTTATGCAATGGGTACCAAACACCAGCAAAATTAAGCAGAACCTTTCACATTTATATACATAACTTACAAAAAAAAAGTTAAAAATGGAAATTATCAGTTCACACTCAGTTATGGGGCAGGCTATTCTTTGATTTAACAATTTTATCATATGCTTCAGCAACAACAGGTTAAAATTTCAAGCTTTTCCTAATGTTTAATTTTTTAACCAAGTATCATTCTAGTTGTCCTTCACTATGCCCTATATAGTAGATAAATATCTTAAGGTGGAGAGATGACATTGAGGAAATCACAGTTTTTCTATCATGTTTCTCATTCTTATGTTCATATAGAGTAATAAAACTGAGCACAGTGCTGTAAATGCGATCTTACCAGTTTCAGGCAGGTAAATCAGACACTAATCTTTTTTTTTCTAATGCTAAAGCCCAACATTTTTCAGTATATAGATAATTTTTTAATGACCAAACAAAGGTTTAAGCTTGAAGAGTGAAAAATTGTATGTAACATTGGTTTCAGTTCACTCTGCTGAACTTACACGTACTGTAGTGTTGACTTACAAACTGTTTGTAGTGAAGTCTTTTTGATATTGAAAGGAGATGTATTGTAATAATTCATGAAGATTAAAATTAATGAGAACATTCTTGTATCTAGAATAGACAATCTGATAGTAATATCCACTTAACGTGAACTCATTAAGTAATGTATCTTTAATGTTTATATCATATTGGGGAAGGGTTTAAGACCATACTGCTGGAATTTACTCTCTTGGGAGGGAAGATATAATTATCATTCAACCAATGCTGATGTGGTTCTTCCTTTCTTCTGTGTGTGTATGCTTATTTTATTATATTCACCTCATCTCTGGTGTCTCAACAAGGAGCATGACCACACTTGGTTCAACAAGTAACTCTTATACAAATGCTTAAAATTTTTGTGACTGTATTTTACTTTTAATGTCACTAAGGTGAGTAATCAGTATGATGTTTCTTTTTTAACTCAATCAAATAAACAACAGCACAGGATAGAGTCTGCATCTGTGTTCACAGCTGCATTTAGAAGATATATAGCTGTGAACACAGGTGGTTGTTTTTTTTTCCTTTTTTTTGCATTGAGTAAAAAGAAATCATAAAGTTATTCACCTTAGTGTGTGTGGTATACAGATGGAGATGAAGTAGATATTAAAGCAGTTGCTTTTGGAGTAGTCTGTTCTTGTACTGTTTGGTATGATCTCATGAGAAGTAAGAAAACATTCATAGATAATTATATTTGAAAAGTACAATGGCATATTATATTTCATCCAGCGATATTATTTGTCTAACTGTAAGTAATGTAACTTCATATAGTGTAAATGTTTGGTATTTTATGTTTTTATGTGTAAGTGTCAGTATGGAGCATTTTTGTTTAATCATTTTGCTACAATCTTTGCTTGGTATGATCAATGTATGTATTATGTTTAAAAATTGATTAAACAACTTTATTATCAATATACTTGGCAGGAAAACAGTTTATAACATCAATCTTAATATTATCTAAGTTTTTACTTCTTAATTAAAAAAGAAACATTTAAAAAATTCTAAATTATCATTTATTCTATGTCCTATAATATGCCAAGTTCCTATTTCTCCACTTCAAAATTTCCTAACAGTAAAAGTAAGCTGCTACAGTTTTCAACCAGATATAAACAGAAACTAAATGTAATTACAAGCAAAATATGTTCAAAATATGATTATTGTGGATGTTAAATCTACGTGCTACATCAATAATTGTATATGAAGTGTGACAGCTCTTAGCCAAACCTGTGTACAAGTGCTGCTCTATAAATTAATTTCAAGCTACCTACTTAGAGAAAAGCTAAAAATCAATCTAGTACTGAGTATTACTAATTAAATGTACTTATCTTAAGTTTTAATATAAGAAAATTAGAATGCATTGTTTTATCAGTTGGGCACCCTCACTGTTAATGATATGTTTGGCCATAAACCAAATATTATCTCGAGAGATTCAACCAGCTTATGAGTTTTAGGTTTGTCATAAATTCATATATTTAGATAATAATGCAAAACAATCTCTATAATAGAATTATAATAATTAAATGTAATAAAACTAGTTGTATGAAATATTTAACCAATACTATTAATGATAGTAACACCAAAGAAATAATAAGAGTATAATTCACTTATGGAATACACAAATACTAGCTGTTAGCTTCAAATACTGTTGTAGATTTAATATTTTTGAACAACATAATATCAGTATGGCCTTGTATAAGCAACATTTATCACAATCCTCCTTATAAATGTTTTGTGCCCATTAAATGATTCTGACTTTGTAATTTTAGAGGAGCCTGAGATCTGAGATAAATTGCAACAACACATGTTACCTCTTAGATGTGGAGCCAAGTAGTGGGATTCTGTCAATACTACAGCCAAAATTAATGTTTATGAAGTTCCAAAATAATAAATTAGACTAATACCTGATTGGTACAATAAATAGCCAGAATACCGTTACTCTACTTTTAACCCTTTATCATCCATGGAAGGTTTTTTTCCCATTATCATAGTTGGCGTAAATGTATGGCTAGAGATGATAAAGGGTTAATTATATTAATGTTAAATGTGGTGAAAAAGAAAATGTATTAAACATACTGTGAAGTGTGTCTGATGCAACTAACCTATAACTTTAACTAATCTATGTCATTTAACAAAACATGTGGAGTAGGCAACAGGAAGTAATAAATAAAGTTAAATCTTCTGTAAAAAGCCAAAAAGTAAATGCAACAAAATGCGAGAAATTTCAGTAATAATAATAAGATTTGGAAAGGGAACTGTACCAATCATGTGTCAAATAAAATAATTAATAAAAATTATTATAACATAACTAATGATGTAATGTTATACCATATATTGAACTGTTGTGTGGCTAGTACTGACTTTGTGGTCAAGGATTCTCATCTGTTACAAGATGTTTCCCATATCTGGTGTATGACTTCTTACTGGTTTCTTTCTGGATGGTCTTGGGTTCCCAAGCTGATCCATATTCCTTTGTTTGCTAATGTCATTAATTACAAGGAATATCCCTGTCAAATTCTAAATCTCTAATCTGAACAAATCTTTATGATTTGAGTGTATGAAAATTTTTATGTCAGAAAGGGCTGTTACATGTCATTCCAAAAAGTGATAAATTTTCGGTGGTACTTTGCTACATATGAAATGCCAAACAA